CGGAACAATCCGCGGTGGCGGCGTGTTCCTGTTATGAAATTAATGGAGTCATTTGTTACGGTATACAATTTCGATCGTTCAATGCCTGCAGTTCTTGAAACAGTTAACTTGTATCCTTTCTCGAGTTTTTCTTCTCTTTTTTTTTTATTCCGGTCACATCGATTTTTATAATTAACGATTTCTCGAGGTGCGTGAAAAATAATCATTTAATTTATTTATTTATTTTTATATCGCAGTGGAAATTTGTCTTTCGTATTGTATTTCATATATATATATATATATATATATATAAGAAAATCATCTTTCAAAGATTGAAAGAATCGAATTATAGTATCAGGTTTCAATCAGAACACAAAAGTATTATTATTATTTTCGAATGGGGTTGATATTTAGTCTATTCGTTCTTTAATTTCATCAATGAATAATAATAATTCAATAATAAAATCCAGAAAGTGCTTTATTTTTTCTTTCGTTCGATCTTCACATTTCATTATTCGTCCGCTTCTCAATTACACTTTCTATTATATTAATAAAGCTTAAAAAAAATTACGACAACGTGGACAACAAACGTTAAATCGACGTTGAGAATTTTTTTTTTTTACTTTTGAAAAGTCGGTCAAGTACATACTTACATACTTACATATATGTACTTAGCTTACTCGAAGTATCTGGTTCAATGATTTACTTATTGTGTCCGTGACTTCGATTAAATTTTTTGTAATTTTAAATTCAGATCATATTTCCTCTTCGTTTCATCTTTTCCGAACAAGTTAATGCGAACATTGATTAATTTTGACTTAAAAAAAAGTCGTTTTCAATAAAATGTCCGATTTTTTATCGCTTCCTGCTTAAAACGATAATAACCATAGTAATGTAACACATAAATTTCTGTTTCTTCATTCGAGCCGAATAATAAAACATCCGTCGTGTATTTTTTTTCTCCGTCCTTTTCAACAATTCATTCGGTTCAAGTTCCAAAATTTTTTATCTTCCAACGATGCTTCTAAAATTCTGTTTTAATTCTTTTCAATAATTTTTTTCTTTTAAATTTCCACGCATAAATTTTATCTCTTAATCGTAATTGATTGCGCTTAAACGATACAAATATTAACTTCATTGCCATTTCGAAAAATGGGGATCCGTTCAAAAGAAAGTTCGCCTTACTCTTGCATTATATGAGTCATCGATGACCCACACACTTCAGCATTTCACTTTGATATCTTGATGAAAATGTAATCGTGTATTAAGAGAGAATTCACTTTGTAATTAAAATGAGTTTCTCAAACAAACTGTGTTTCACTTCAGTTCTCTACACTTCCGGTACACTTTGCTTACAAACCGTCTGATCCAGTTTTAGGGAAAAAAAAAGTAGTACCAATGATAAAATCTTTAATTGGAAAGAAACTAATATAATTTCTTCTACAATCTGTTTCGTTAAAACAGAATCAAATAACGTGTCTATTCAATCTCGAATTACAATTTGATTTTTACTTACGTTAATTTCATAGATGATTCACGTTACGTGAATCGAGGCAGACACTAGCTTCTTTAATACCCGTGCGATGCACGCTAAGGTTAGATAAAAATTTATGCTTCTACATAAATTTTCCACGGCGTCAGATGATTCATCCTGCTCCTGCGTGCATGTCCAGTCGTAATCCAAGCACACAATTTTATTAAAAGATAAGAGATTCAGATGGACATCGAAGGGATAGTTTCGTCCGCTTTCTTAGAAAAGAAATAAAAATCGTGGAAAAATTTCCCTCTCCCCTAATATCATGATTCTTCCAAAGCATCATCGACTCTTTTATCAATATTAAAATATTCCAAAATATTTTTTTAACAAAAGTTGGACGATATTCAAAGTAATCGCGTCATTCTCCTTGTTATATTAACATAACTGCAACACGTGATCGTTTTCCACGAAGGGAGGAATATTGTATCAAGAGGGAGATGGAAAGAAAGAAAGGTTATGTTCGATTGTCGACTAGGGCGAGTTCACCGATCTGAAAATAGCAGAAGTCACGCGAGTAGATACATGTGCACTCTTATGCTACACTCTCGTTCAAAAGTCTTTGTCAAAATACTCTTTGTTACTTGATATTGCACACACGGTTTTAATTCGTATAAAAATTTTACACATATATAGATACAGGCATAATCACACTGTATCGTTAAATTACGTGGTATAATAGACGATTAAGAAACAAGTGTATTCGCTTTGAGACTTTTCAACGAGGCTGTACATGCAAATATGTATGTGGAGAGTTCGTGGACTTGAAGAAGCACAATATGCGGAACACGCATTTGCGTGGAGCAACGTGATGAACATAGTGGAACGATTGGCTCTAACACTCCATAGATATTTTGAACGAGATTAGAATATTTCAGTTGACTGGAATGTACCTTAATTCAGGTAAAATAAACTTGTGCGATACGTACATGATCGGGAAAAAGATATATTATCTTTCAAATATCTTTAAAAGTTGAAAAAAAATATGATTTGATCGATTAGAAAAGATTAGAGAAGAAATCTTTTTTTTTTTTCTGTATATTTGAAAAAAAAGAATATCTCTTAGAATAGAAAAGATGTTTAATTTGATACGAAGCATCAAGATTTTACTTCACGTGAAAGCTATGGATACGTATAATTTGTTCAGAAAAAATTGAAATATGTTTCTAATATGGATATGCACCCACGCGTGAGGAAACAAAGAGGCCATCATCTTACGTGGCCACTAGTTTCGCACGATGTATAAACTTTATAGTGGGTCATTGATAACTTTCGCGATATTTAATTCGTTATGAGTCATTGCCATATATTATATATTTTTCGTGTTAATTTTTCACGTTATAACAGTTCAATGAAGATAGAATAAATTGATAAAGAGAAAAAAAATATAAAGGAAAGTAAATTATGTATCCGACTCATTATAGTAAACGATAATAGAATTAAATTATGATTACATTGTGCAAAAATTTAATAAAAAATTCAAATATATACGATAGAAATAATAATTTATAATTATTAATTGTAGTTTGTGAATTAATAATAATCAATTATTAAAATCGCATACGTGTCCCCAAGAACGTGATGCAATAGAGTAGAAACGGTTTCTTTTTGTTGGATTTATTCATTTTAATCAAATTAAAAAGGTCAATGCTAACTAGTTTATAAACGCATTTGCGTCTTGAGATTCAGTAGCGAACTTAATGTCGTATATGACAGCCCGAGACGCGCGCCATAATGCCACGTTCACGTTGCACTATTTTTTCGTTGAAAATTCGTTGGGGGATAAGCAGTGTGAACGCGGCATAAGAACGTCGCGACACGTGTGCGTCAGGCCTGACAACATCGTGTTTCGATCGTTGGGTTCACTGTTCTCCTAGAAGTAGAAATCACGCGAACGAGTCTCGAGACTATCCTCGTATTCACGAGCGATTTATGTATAGGGTGATTTCATAAATATCGTCGATCGATTTGCCAATTGAATGCCACGCTGGCATTCACTCTCTATCGTCATATAAGTTTGTGTAATTTCGTTCAACTACATATATAGAGAGTTGATCATGCTATAATTAATGTTGGTACTTTTAATCTCGGATATTTGATGATATTGATTCGTTTATACGTTTTCCAAAGTTTTACGTATTTATCGCATTTTTATATTTATGAAATTATGTATATTTTATCTTATTCATAATAATTTATCATGAAATTATGGAATATTTAGCCGATTGTCGAGCAAAAATTAATTTCAGATTGATATATCGGTTAGGTTTCGAGAATATTTTGTCTAGATAACATTGGTGATTGCTTCATAGTGAATTGAATTGATTGGTTATATTCACGAAGGGAAATGCAAGTGATATGTGAGTGATAAAAATGATATAGACATATCGTTATCTGATAAACCTGGCACATTTTATATAGATAAGCTTGACGTTGTGTACAAACTTTTAGAAAGATATGCATTATGCCTTATTCTGTATGAACAGTTGTGTCTACGGATAACTGTAATGCAGGAAACTGTATTATGTAATGAATTGTTTAATTTATCACCTGGTTTTGCAATTAATTTATACGAAAGAGGGAAGATAATAAAGATACGCGAAATATCTTTGCAAAATTTTTCTAAATTTTCTAATTACCAGATTTTTGTTTCATTATTGATTAAATTTCGGCATGATTATATAGAGAATAACTTTATTTAATAAGCAAAATTATATTTCTGAAATATAAAGTTTTTAATTTTTATTTTATAATGATTTGAAACAATTTGAAACGAAATAATAATAAAGAGTGTTTTGTTTGCATATCCAATAGCATCAAGATTTATCCTTGAATTTTCGAGATATTTATCATTTTGCAACATTATAATTGCAAATAGTAAATAATTTAAACAACGAGAACTTAAGAAAAAAAAAGCAATTTCAAAGTAAGTAATTTACGATATATATCACAATAAAACAAAAAAATGCGCATATTTTAACCAGTTAAAAATAAAACTGATCCGTTCTCTGAATAAATTCATTTTTATCTTTGTTGTAAAAAAATTTCCTTGTTATTCTGATTAAATTTACATAGAAATGACGGAAGTTTATAGAACATACATATATGGTTTATTTGAGATTAGATAAGCAATTCGTGTTAGAAAAGATAAAACTGAATGTCATTCATTTATAAACTTGAACAATGTGTCGTAACATTATTCATTTTTTTGTAATTATTAAAACCAATCTTGCAATATTTAAATTTGCAATATCATGAATTTCTAAATAACATATATCTACTGTTGCAATCAATTCGTATTACAAATCAGTTTTATTCCAAATACAAATTTTTATCAAATTTGTTTTATCTTTATTCTTATTAAATCAAAGTCCATTGAACAAGCTATATTTACGATGCATCTTTGAAATAAAATAGATAAAAAATTTTTCAAATATCAAATTTTTCTCGCCAATTAATCAATTCACTCAAACTTTTTTTTCTTTCCGAAATATTCACTCATCCAAGTAAATATACATATTAGCCAAAAGTGTCAGAATGAGCAAAGTATTCTTGTCTCTGCTCCATCCCGGATGCAATTTTTTTTTTTGCAACTCTGCACAATACATAAATTACCGCACGTGTAAATCCAGCTTAAGACCACGACGGCCTCGCCTTCATGTCTGGCAAAAAGCACGCGATTAAATCAAGAAGGTCAATGCTGTTGTGGGGCAGAAGTATCAGCAACAGCAACGATTCATCGCCCTATCTGTTTAATGTAGCTGATAATTCAGGGGCAGATGTAGAAAGAGTGTGCGCAACCGTCCCACGCATGATCGCGCGCGCGCGCGCGCGCGTTACGCTGCAGCAGATGAGGATGTGACGTTACTCTCAGATTTGTTAATTTGTTATGTACTGCGCTTGCCACGGTTGATTCTCGTAATAAAACAACCGCTCGCGCGTGGACCGGTGAAGAACTCGAGAGAATTCGTCATTGAACTATACTGATTCAACAAACGGATTCACCTCGAATCCGAGTCCTTTAATCGCGCCCACAATTTCATTCAATGGAATAAACGAGGAGATAGTGGCTATTATTCTTGTTTAATCGTTTGAAATACTTTGCTCGATTTATATTTGGACGCGTTCCGATGGAATGACTGATTTGTTGACATACGACCTCGTAGGATTTGTATATTAATTACATATTAATTGAATGTAAAAGTGGGACGTTTCTTACAGTCGATAGGTTATATACAATAGATCGGTTGGTCATTGCGTGTTAATAATAAATATATGGGTAAGAAATGTATTATACATGTTTTAAGGAATTGTATATAATAGCTCATGTTACTTATTTAATCGAATTTGAATCTTTCTCAGTTACCATTTACTCTTTTATATCCTCTTTTATATCCTAAGCAAGGAGGAGGTATAAAGTGAGTGGATGACTTTCACGTAGCGAGGAATATAGAAAAGGTTAGGTTAGCTCGTTCGGTTTTGATTTATCTGATAAGGAAAATATTTCATTTAATTATAGTTGGTCAATATTACAGAATGAAATTCTCTTTTACTTTCTGTTTTCTAATTTATTCCAACTTTTAGCAATTATTTACGGCACATTTCTTGTTCACAATTATAAATTCTTCATCAGTCTATGTTCTCTTTTTCTTTCTAATTCGTAGACAAGAATGGACGGCGATTTATATTTTCAGGCATACCTTCGATCGAGATTTTAATTATTTCATGACAACGTGATTATAGGTTACCTATACATATTCGTCGTTAAATGTTAGATGGATTTAATGTAAATGAATTTGATATATTTTATGGCATTGATACGAATAATAGCGAATAATAGTACGAAAAGATTATTATAATTGGATCGTGACTATGCTGTTACCAGATCGTTATCGTAAATCATGGAACTGAATTACATCCCTTTCATTATAAACGTTCTGATTGAATTATAAAAATGCTGCCACATATAATAATCAGAAATTGCTTAATCATTTTCAAATAAATATTAACGAGACAAAGTTTATTGCTAACGCCGTCACATATTTGGTTTCAAAGATGATATAGCAAATATTTTTGCAGATTTTGTTCATATAAAATGATATATATAGTTATATTTAAAAAAATATTTCAATGATTATAGAGATTTAAACTAACCTATTCTCAAAGTTTTCATTCTTCCACATCTTCATTGATCCCAATAATTACGTACGTAATTTTTTTGCCAACAATTCATGTATTTCAATCTACGTATTAAATAAAATCTCAATTAAATTCCTTCGATATCAATGAGACATTCGAACAATCTTCTCAATTATATTTCAACGTAACTGAATCACAATCTAATTAAAGTATCCATTAAATCCCAATCTCGTATATTCATTCAAGAGAAGCCATCGGATTAAGGTGATATATTTTAATGACTTCATAAAGACACACGCTGTGTCGTTGAGTGTTATTACATCGCAGGAAGCGAAAGATCGTTATAATGAAACACGCACTAACGGGAAGCATCGAAATGTTGATCCAGCAAAGTATTGCCGGACTTCATAATCATTCATATAGGAGTATGACGATAGAGGGCGACACGAGGCTAGTAAGTGAAATACATACGTTTATATATCGAAAGAGGGATCGACGCGACCAAGGCCTTGCAGTCTAATCAACCACGGTCATTCTATCATTTACATATGCATGAACAAATACGTTATAAGTTGAGATAACACAGCAGACATACATTATCCCTGTATCGTGCAATTGTACAAATAATTACGGAACAGCAAACGATTAGAAGCTTCCGCATGGCTGCTGTACGATTTCAGTTTTCATTTGTGATTTATATTTGATATCGAACGATCGGAGAACAATGAAATAGTTTACTTTCCGGTTTGTTTGAATACTTGGTACAGTTTATCGGTCTCTTCCTGTGTTTGGATAGTAAATGCTTTTCTTTTCTTTTTTTTTTTATTTAACATTTTAGGTTAGGTTGATTTTTGTACGAATAAATATGAATATATATAAAATACTTGAAAAATTATAAAATTTTTCATATATATATAATTATTTATAAAAGATTTAATTAAGATTGAGGATTTTTTTTCTTATTATCAAAGCATGTGTGTTGATTTGCACCACTATCATGAAAATATTTATACATATTGTAATGTATCACTTATTGTATCATTATTATTTATTAAATACGATGTGAAAATGTTTAATCAAGTTTATGTAAAATTTCAAGAAAATTCTAAACTAGAAAAATACAAACTAAAAAAAGAAATATCATGCTTGTGTGAAACGACGCTCTCATTGTGGCGCCATGATTAAAATAATCTCACAATGCGTGCCAACGTTTCACGAGCATGTACGATACAATCCAAGTTACGAATTCAAGAGGTATGAGAGCGCCACAATTGATTTTTATAGTGTCGTTAAATATTTACGAGTTTTTATTTAATAACAAAGAAGTTTGGAAAATAACGTGAGCTTTCGATAGTATTGGTTATGCTCGCGAATATACGTAGAAGTATACATTATCATGTTATTATCGTTATGATAACTCGTTAAATAATTAAGTGGATACTATTTTTAAAATATAACGAGTAATTAAGAGTATTTTCTTGGATTTGAGAAAGCATATTTGTTTTAAAATCTTCGTGTTTTCTTGAAATCTATTCTAGTATTATATTATGTTGATAGAATGATTCATGATATTAAGAATATAATTATAAATTCGAATAATAATTATAAATTCAAAAATTTTATTTCTGATAGCTTTTATATAATGTACAAGATTTGTCACACAAATAATATATATTTTTAATACTTTTATACTTAAATTTAATTAAAAGTTTAATAAATATATATATTTTAAAAAATGTACAAATTAAATAATATTTAATAGATCAATTATTAAATATAGTAATTATCAATTTATTATAAAAATGTACTTTTGCAATAATTATTTATTACTGCAATACTTACACACCTATTTATGATACAACTACAAATGTATAAATATTATTTTAATATTTTAGATCTATTCAATGATTTCTTTAAACAAAAATTTTTTAATGTTAGAAATATTTAAAAAATTAACAAAATAAACATAAAAATCAAATGTAATAGAGTAAACTATAGATAAGAAATATAAGAGAATAGTTATTTAATAAACATATTTTTGCACTATAATTAATAGGCATAATTTCTTCTGAAATGAAATAAAAACAAAACTTTAACTTTGATAATTAACTTCATCGTGTATACAAACATTTAAGCAAACTTACTCATGTTTTCTGTTAACTGATGTCTTTTCTCCCTTTTTAATTATTACTACTGAAACAATCAACTTCATATAATTTACAAAACATTCCGATCAAAAGAGCTCTCGTTTACAGAATACGAGTTTCTATACTAAATTTATTGAGATTATAACTTTTTATTTATTTTTCTTTTTCTATCAAATTCTATCAAAGTAAACGTACTAGCTATTTTCAAACAATCCACTTTTGAGAATAGTGTATTTATATAGAGAACGTTAATAAACAGTTACATAATCTTTTATTAGACATATGTTTCATTAAACATATCTAAGTCTATGTTTTAGTAAATCTATGACAAAATAAATATGACAAGATAAATTTATTTATTCTTAGAATTTCAAGTTTATATAAATATGTACAATTTAAAATATAGTAATATAATATAATCCAAATAAAATGGACTCCATTATTTTGCCAAAAGTATCTGCTCATCTTTAACATTACAAAAATAAATCTGAAATCCATCATTTTGACTAGTTTGGTAATAGATCTAGTGGTAAGAACAATATCCTTTAAGATCATAATACCATTTCTCCTAATCATTTTATCTTTGAAAATTATTATTTCTTCAGTTTTGATATTTGTTATAATTGGAACGATATTTCACATTTAAATAAAATTCATTGAAAAATTAATATTTCTTCTTCTTCTAACATATATCACAATATTTTTGATTCTAATCAAAATTAAAAAGTTTCATTCGATTAGAACAAATATATTATTTTCAATAATTTACAAAGTATGCATCAAGATGAACATATTTTTGCAAATTTTGCAAACGGAAAATTGTCTTTCAACGAGCACATTGCGGAGACTGAAGTGAAGCAACATAGACGGCGCAGGATGTAAGTGCGGTGAAAATTCTATTTTCAGAATATCTCGCCACGAATTCCTCGGAATATCTTTAAACCATAGCATTTCTGACTCCCAATAAAAATAATTCTATAGATTCACGATGACTTTAATATCTTTCCACTTGCATGAAGCAAAATGTCAGACCGCTTGCGATTGTTTCCACTTGACTTGTACGAGATTAAATTTAGACCCGAATGTTATGATATTTTTATAGAAATTCGATACAGGGTAACCATTCTTACACAGATTAAATTTTTACACTTTTTAAACTATCAATCAAACTCTCTATTTTTTACAATTTAAAATTTTTCACTTTTGTTTAATCAATTGTTTTTACACGTGATAATTTATTTCATTAATAATATTGAATTGAAGCGTCTAATCGTGCAAGAAGAAAAGAAGAAAGAGGAAGTTTGTATCATTATTCATGATCAAAGAAAAATTAACGTTACTTATGCTTAAGTGAATAAAACGAGAGATCCTATGGAGTGGAGTATCATGGATAATATCGAGTCCATTTGCGAACTCCCATTTGCAATTGTTCCATTTGCAATAACAGGAACATTGATACTATTCACAACTGAACGAACTAAGTGCTCGTATGTAAAGGGTGCTTACCATTATACTTGCTATCATTTATATGAAGATATTCATACGACTATCTATATAATTTCCTTTAAAAAAAAAAAGAACTACTTTTTTCATAAGGTCAAAAATACACAACTACAGATGTATATATATATATATAAATTGCTTAAGCTATAGAAAAAATTCATATCTCTATAAATCAGAAACGAATGAAAAGAATTTACATTTTGCAATTTCTTAATTTCAACATTAACATTAGTCTTAAAATAAATTAATAATTTTGTACCTTGTATTACGAGCAATACATCTATTTTCCTATATAGAACATGTAACGTAACATTGGATCTAATACCAAAGAAATCTTGAATAAACATATTAACACGTTCTTTGCCAAATAATTTTCGTCCGCCATAATCCGTCTTTGCGTAACGGATCTTTATGAGTTTTTATATATTTCTTCGATATTGTGTCACGGGATTCGGAAAAACGTTGTTCGCCCAAAGAAATTTTTAGTTTCGCGTATTTTCGTCGAAAATAGATAATAATAACGCGACACGTGAAATTTCATGACACTTGAATGCATCGACAAATCGCATGGCGCCTCTGCCAATTTTAAACTGGCGCGAATTATGAAATGGAATTATTCGGTTTATAATTTATAGTTTCTATCTATATCTTTATATTTCTCAATATGTAACTTATATCTAACATCGCATTCACAGAATACAAGCTCATTATTTCTCATTCAACATCCGATTTATAAATGTAAATTTCATCACCGGCTATTATTCTAAGAAATTATTATCTTTGCTTCGTTATGACATGACGCAAAGAGAAAAATCCAGATATAGAAATAATATTTTTTAAAATATATATATATATACATACATCAATTAAATAAAACAATAATTTGTAATTTATTATACCAGCCGATGGTATCGATCGATCTGAAAATACGCGTGGCAAAACGTTCATCGTAACGCATCTTTCCGGGGAAAAAGCGACAGAATATTCGAAAATTTTTAAACCTTCCCAATTAAAATTCCGATCGTCTTAGTCATGCATACACCGAGCATATAAACGTATTATATTTCCATCCGATCAAACTAAAAAGAGAATGGATAATTATTATAGCGGAAACCCACGTTTACAATTGGAGTATATTTTATACAGTTGTCGGCAAGCGAAGGCAAGATGTGACGCGTTGGGATGCGTTTATCAATCGCATAGTTCAAACAGCGCTTCTATTAAGCTTGGTTAGCGGGCACAAGGAGTGAAGCACAGAGGTGGAACGAGAGAAGCCGCTCACGTGAAACTGCCACGTCTATTTGCTCTTCCTATTTTCGTAGCCGTTTGGTATATAAAGAGCCCGTCCTCGGGACATTGCCGAAAGATTTGGCAGCGATCCGCGGTTTTCTGCGCCGCGGCACTTGCTGCGCCGTAGATAGAGTCGCTAGAGAAGGCGAACGCGAGCAATAGTTTACCGGGAGGGATCGCGCCGGATGTGTTGCCGTTCGCCGTCTCCCTTTCTTTCCTACAAAATTCTCTCCTCCCTTACAAGTTTGCCTCCCTTCGTACCAGAAGTGCCTCCCCTTTCTTTTTTTTTTTTTTGCCATCCAATGTAACATGTTTCCGTCCGATCGAAGGGAGAAGGATCGGGTTTGGAGATATCGACTCGCGTTTCGTGGATCCGCTTGAAAACCCACGTGCTCGAAACTGAGGGCAGCCGGTCTTTTCGTGTTAATAAACGCCGCGGTTGCCAGCTATCCGGGGCAAATTGGATCTCGCTCGAGACGACGCGCGATACGCTTTTTTGGCGCTAATGGAAGACAAATAAAACACGTGGCGATACGATAGTGTGGTGTAAAGGATCCTTGGGAGAGGGAGAGAAAGTGTGTGTGTGTGTTTGTGTGTGCGTGTGGGGTGGTATTTAAAAATTGGTGAAGGGAAGGAATGCTGGAGGGGACGCGTTGATTAGACACAATGGGAAATACGGACAGCGTCCACGACGTGGAGATGAACTCCTTGTCCAATGTGGACAATGATCGTCCTTACATCAAGGTGATTATCAACTTGATTTGTGTTGTTGTTGGAATTGAGTGGAATGATTACGTTACGTTCAAGTGTAGGAGAGTCTTCGAACAGTTGAAATTTCTAAATCGAGATGTCGTTAAAGGATTGTGGGAAGTGGGTCATTGGGGGATCAATGAAAATGGAGCAACAGGAGTTTTGTTCGTTCACGAGACAATTACGAAAGAGCGTCATTGACAGGTTGTAGACCAGGAAACAATATTGATGTCTAGTTTAGCACGGTTAAACAAAAATGCAAATATATGCAAAGTACATTTGCAATTATCTTGACGCACTGATACCATTTACGTGGAACAGGGACTATTTTTAAACCGCGCAAACAAATATTTTCATATTTTTCACTTTTTTAAATTTTACTAATTTTTTTCGTAAATTTTTTCTTAGTAAATATTAAATTTTCGATACAATTTTATATATTTTAACAAATTCAACCGATTGCTTATCACCGAGGATCAGATTTGATTGAGCACAGTAAAATTACGGGTCGAAATCTGTACGATGTATTTGTCTATTTTATTTCAACTCACGTTTGAATTTCCCGCCAAATATAGAACAGGATAATTTTATAAATTATATCAAAATTTCAATCCGGTGTATCGATGATTTTGAGTTTATCGTTTTTTTATTCTTTTACTTTATTCCGTGTTTCTCTCCGATTTGTTGAAATTATTTTTTATTTTTTTTTTTTATCGAGAAAGTAAATTTCTGGTACTTTTAACATTTCTTTTTCTTTCTTTTTTTTCTTTTTGGCATTTACCAGACGAGTTACTTCATTTTGATTTATTTTTAAATGCACGTGTGGGAGACATTTATAATCCAGAAACGACCCAGTTAATGGATCGAAATAGAAAATTGAAGTTTTGTTTGAAAAGAGGGGAACAATACGAGTAAGATGCAATAATATACAATAAAAGTGATACTGGCAATGGTTTCAAGAAAAGATTGGCCGTTCATTCAATTCGAAATATTTACTCTCTAAACGAGCGTAATCGAGTTGGATTTAATATAAATATTTTTTTCCAAAATTAAAATAATTACAGAGAGAACGAATGATTCATATCGTCATAGATTATAAAAAGATCGTTAATTTTCTTCTTTTTAGCATTCGCCAATAAAACGTACTAAATGAAAATTCATGCAAGATACGTGCAAGATATGTGCAAAAGAATATGACAATGATACAGCAAAAAACGCCACAACTTTTTATTTCATCGATATGATAATTATTGTCTAATCGCAATTTCATTGTTCATCAAAGTAGTTATATATAGTTGAATAATTTGCACGTTACGTATAAATTAGGATAATTTCCAGTATTCGTGTATTTCTGTTTCGGTAAGCATATCCACACCTTCCATTTCTTTTCTTCAACGAACTGAATACTTTTTGTATTTTCGACAACACGAAGAAACATTAAGCAAAACTATTTTTAAGAGGATTTTTCATCGTTCAAAGATTCTAATAATAACGAAATGCAATATTATTTCTTAATTGCGTTCAAAATAGGCGATAAAACTTCTCCTTTGCCAACCGTTTTCATCGAGATTTTACATCGAGAAACAGTGTTCCCAAATTAAATATCAATAAAATTCTTAATGTTGGTGCTTAATGAAAAATTACTCGTTCCTTTATAAATAACGAATAACGATGATTAATCGATTGAATATCTTCTCTTCCGTTTCTGTTACAGAGAACACCAATGCGCCCAATGATAGCGGAATACGACCCAAAGAAGCACGGTGTGAAAACAGAACTGTCAGACACGGTTCTAGTCAAGTAAGTGAGAAAACTTGGTTTACGAAACCGACGCGAACGAACGGTTCAACGATAGTCGAGCAATTCACTATCTGCTACCACGACCAATCATCACCATTGCTTTCTTGCCAAACTCAAATGCTCCGCGCTCAAGCAAACGTGAGTGACAATCCGAGGATCATATATTGTGCATTATATCGTATATATGTGTATTCTCTCATTCTCTGTGCTCTTTGATATCATATCTAGTATATACATATGCATATATATGTATATATATATATATATATTTCTTCAATATATATATATATATATTATATATATTGTTCAATATGTATTATATATTCTATAATATTACAAACAACTTCACAACAACAAGTTCATGCATACCGCCTGTGATCGCTAACGTAGAATTCGTAGCGTGGCTGGCACCAGGGATGCTTGACGATTGTCCGCCGAATCGTGATCGATATCGCTGGTTTGTGCAAAAAAAAAAAACGGCTTCTTCCATTTTATTCAATGTGCGGCTGCCAAGCACTCGTCTAGTTTCGAAGATTTTTCTTTTCC